AGGTAGGTTTGGACAGCTTTATTTTCCCTTAATAAATGAAATCATTATTTCAATACTGCATTTTGTATTTACTCGGGTTATCTTTGTGCAATATAAAAATTTGTTTGATCTGAATCATTCAAGTGTGACAAATATGCAAAAAAATAAAACAACAGGAAGGGGGCAAAAACTTTTTCACAAGACTGTGTGTGGGTGTGTATATAATATAACGAGCTCTAACTCAAAAGAATTCCCCTGCCATGTACGTTTTGTTTCTTGTTCTACTGGTTTCACTATGAGGCCTCTTTTGTTCAGAATCAGAATGGCCTCTTGGCAACACTGTTGTTCAGCTTTTTGAGGATCAAGGAGCTATAAATTAGGCAGCTTCAAATAACAATAGTTAAAGCTATTGTGTGTGGGTGGGAGTCTTCTTCTTAGAGAGACTTTATTTTTCTTTTTAAAGGGGTCCTATTATGCTCTTTTACAAAGTCTTGATTTTGTTTTGGGGGTATACTAGAACAGGCTCTCATACTAGTTTGTTTTACATTACATTTACATTTACATTTTACATTATTACAACACCTCTCTCTCCAGTCTGGCATGAACGGCTTGAATAGTTCCTGTATCAAATGAAGTCCCGCCTTCTGAAATACGAAATGTGCTGTGATTGGTTAGCTGGGCCAGTGTGTGTTGTGATTGGCACCACTCGGCGCCTGGTCGGGAAATGTCATGCCCCTTACAGCCGCCTGTGAGCTTCAGTGTAAATATTGCGTCAAAATCAAATCAATTTGAGCGCGATTTTAAGGCAGGTTTGGACAGCTTTTTTTCCCTTAATAAATGAAATCATTATTTCAATACTGCATTTTGTATTTACTCGGGTTATCTTTGTGCAATATAAAACACCCCTTTAAAACTTTGTTTTTTTATGGCATCATATGTTGATGTCATGTCAAGAAATAGCTAAATAAATTGTAAGTGTAGCAGTAAGTGCTTATCTATTTTAGGGGACTTTCATTGTCTGTTAGATTCTTTTACAGTGGCCCATCAATCTGTGTTTTTTCCAAAAAAGCGAGAAATTTGCAACTTAAGTCTGGAATATGCTACATGATTTTTGCCCCGATTTACAGTCTGTAGAAGTTGACGCTAGTTGCCGAAAGTCAGAGCCAGTCTGCAGATTTGTGTTGACAGATTTAGAAAATTGCAGTGTGTTATGCTCACAGATTTTGATTTTTAGCTTCAGTTTGAATCCATCCAGTTTGAGGATATATTGAATGATATATTGAGCCGATGTGTGTACTTTAGTTAAATGTCATTATTTTTCATTATAGGTCTGCATGCAGTAGACACAATAGTGAATGAATAGATTTACCATTGAATGTGTCCTTGTTTGTTTGCAACAGCATTGTGTTCAAAACATTATCAAGGTTGTAGACATTAAAATAGTTCTCATTGTTTCAATTTATTCTTGTTCTCTTGACAGATGATCTTTCACAGGAAATTCCGTAGCCAGGAATCTCACAATGTACATTTAGCAGATATGTGCATGTAATGCACAAAATGTATCTTACAGTTTAAGTTAAAGTGTACAGCTCGAAACAAATCAACATCGTTTTTTTTTTACAGTAAATTACATGTATTTACTGTACTAAATGATATGAGTCTTGATCCCTATCATAGTGATGATCATCCTTTTTAGTTTGAGCAGATATAAATCATATATGTCCTTACCTTTTAAAGGTTTCAGAGAGGTACAATGTCTGCTGTTTGTACTTCACTGGAATCACAAGGAAAAGCTCTGCCTTCGTTTGACAATCTAGACTGACTTGATTTTGCTGGAAGGCTGTGCCAGATCACATCTATGACTAGACTCACCTACGTCAAATGAAACCAAATGCAAGGTTTAAACTGAAATGAAACCTCATTATTTATCTTTCAGCTCTACTGTAGGGGATTTGCTATTGTAATTAGTTTTGTGTAACAATGGCACAATAATAATTGTTTAATAAAGTTACTCAGACTGGTTTAAAACTAAACAAAGAAGTTCATAGGAATGCAAATGTTTGTTTATTTATAGGTGTGTGGGTGTGTTAATTTATCTTTCAGCTCTACTGTAGGGGATTTGCTATTGTAATTAGTTTTGTGTAACAATGGCACAATAATAATTGTTTAATAAAGTTACTCAGACTGGTTTAAAACTAAACAAACTTCAAAGAAGTTCATAGGAATGTAAATGTTTGTTTATTTATAGGTGTGTGTGTGTTATGTGGGTGTGGGTGTGGGTGTGGGTCTTTGCTCAGTACAATATGTGAAGTGCTTTGCATGAAATAACATGGTTCTAGTATAGAAATGTAGAGTCACCATCTTACATGTGTTAACTGAATTATCATAAAGCTAGACTACATTTTCAATATTTTTTGGATATTTGACATGCCACATTTATGGTGTATCTGGAATAAAGTTTGTTATTCTTTCTTTATACTGTCACACATAAAATAGCTATGGTGTAAAAAACAGCAGAGTCAGAGTGAATAAAATCAAAACTAAAAACAAAAAGCAGTCAACCTGAAACTGTTTATGAGCTAGTGTTTTATTTATAAACCAGACTAAAAGCTAAAAACAGCATTCCTCCAAAGGGTGGATGGATCACTTTATGTATGTCACGTGTTTTCATGAGGAGATTCAGTATCATACTGCTGGAAATGAGTAAGTGCAGATATACACATAGAAGATAGGAGCAAGTAGAAGACTTTTGCATCTACTTCAAAGACTCACAATGGACATGAGGACAAAGTAGCTGAAGTGCTATTTCCTCCTGCAGGCTGGTGGTGCCATGGCTACAGCCTGGTGTGTATGTGGGTGAATATGCACGGATATTTGTCATGTTGCTTCTGCGAGGCTCTCCGAGAGTAATTGGATACAACTTTCCCCACTGTGCTGTCAAAAGGAGTTTGTTTTCAAATATAATGCCTCAGGCTGTCAGCTTGTCTGCACCGTACTCATCTGTGAGAGTTTGCATGCAGATATACAGAACTGCAAATTTGTGTTTGCCTATAACGCACATATGCAGGAACATGTTTCCGGAAGTCCCCACTGATTTGACATGTTTCTATGTTTTTCCGGTACTGTCTTGAGAAGTTTCGATGGCAATGGCATTTTCTTCTCCTCCGTATAAAGCGCAACTCTGCGTTGTTTACAGCGGTAAACAAGGAAACACTATTTTGCGGTCGGTTCATAAGCAGTGTTGCCAAGTCCGCGTTTATCCCGCGGAATTGGGCTACTTTAACACTGTTGCCGCGGGTTGTTGTTCATGTCCGCGGGTTGAAGCGACCCCAATAACGTGATATTTAGTCCCTGGAATGTGAATTTTACTGGAAGGTCCCCACCGAAAAAAGTGTAGTTTACCACCGGAATGCGATTTTTACAGGGGAATCTTTCATAAAGGCCGAGGTCAGGGATCTTGGGCCTAAAAAGGTTGGTGACCACTGCTGTAGAGGTTCTTTGCCAGGCCATAGATAGTCCCAAGACCTATAATGTGAAACATTTTAGATTAAAAGTCTGACATTTTGAATACAGACCAGGATTTATGCCTTTTTATGACCCAGGAATAAACATTGTTAGCAAGTGCCCCTCGTGCCTGTTTCTCACAGTGATACATAAAACATGGAATTATAAAAGATGTATGATCCTGTATCCTATGCCGTCATTGACCGTAAACCTGACATTCATTTTCACTGCTTTACAGAAATCTTAACAGGCTGCATTATGCATCAATACTTTTTTTTTTTTTTATGATAATTAAATACATTCCCTAACCACAAGTTCTCATTACGGTAATGTTTTCAGGCATTTGATTAAATCAATGAATGTATTGCTAATTACTGCTATGTTCTAATTTACATTATTTTCAGTGGTAGTTCACTCTAAAAAAAAATCTAGGTTAAAAACAATCCAGCGCTGGGTGAAATATGGACAAACCCAGTGATTGGGTTGTTTTAACCCAGCAGTTGGGTTAAATGTTTAACCCAGCCTTCTGGTTAGTTTTATTTAATTCAACTATTGCTTAAACATTACTATATTTCTTGACCCAAAATAGGTTGAAAATGAATATTAATTAATATGTTAAAAAAAATGAATATTTATTGAGTTGAATAAATAATAATTAAATAATAGACATTTTTTAAAAATTGCTTATTAATTAATGTTCACCTTTTGATTTATTCTTGATGCCTCTAGTAATTCTGTGTTAAATAAAGCTGCATGGGTTAAAAATTTAACCCAACCACTGAGTTTGTCCTTTTTTCACCCAGCGCTGGGTTGTTTTTAAC